GTTTTGTATTACATTGGAAAATCACCCAATCAAATTTCAACACTACTATACATACTATATGTACTATACGCACTATATGTAAAGTATTGTATAGTGTTGTATAGTGTTCAACTATACACCATTTGCCCATCTCTATTTTTATATGTTTCAGCTGACTTTTCAAAAATCACCTGAAAATATAATATTATTACTTAATTAGAATTTGTAAATAATGATACCAAAATGATAATAATAACTCAGCAAGAAATTTAAGCATCTTACCCTAAATTTGATCAGATCTATTATGGGACTCACAATTGATGAAAAAGAAACTAGCCTTTTTGGTAGTGTGAATGAAAATAGCTTGGAGTAAAGACTAGTGTCGTAATCCAAAAAAGGAAAAAGTGTGGTTGTAAAAGTGGTTGCAAAGGTAATTGCAACCACTTTTTATATGCCATAAATACAATTACTACCATCATCATAATTTATGGCACTAGTCTTTATGGTACATTATATATATCTCAACATCTAGGCCTGTTTAATTTTATTAAATAATTAATATATACATATGCACATATATATAAAGCTTTAACATTATTATTATATTATATAATTTACCAGACAGATGTACACCAAATACATTTATCAGATTTATATTTTCTTCCAGATCTCTACTACTCAGGATATTATAGAAACGTGTTATTTGGTCATGCATTAACAGCACCAATTTGGTTGAGTCAAACTTTGCTGGCTTTATGCCTTTCATTCATGCAGCTAATTTTTTTTGTTCAAAAACAATGGTTTCTACTTCATGTGTTGCATAGCAAACTTTGATGTCTGGAATTAAAGCACGTCTTATTCATTCTGATTTGATGTTATAATTCCTTCTTTCACTGTTTGCTTCACTTGAATTATTGTTAATGAAATTTAGGTTGAAATCATCTTAAAAAAAAAATTAATGTCTTTACAATTCAATAAAAAGAAGGTAAGAAACACATTACCTGTTCACTGATAAAATATATTCTTTGCTGAAAAACAGTGCATCAAATAATGGTGTGTAAAGGAATGCATTTAGATGTGGCTCGCTTAAAGACTAGTACCATAAATTATGATGATGGTAGTAATTTTATTTATGGCATATAAAAAGTGGCTGCAATTACCTTTGCAACCACTTTTGCAACCATACTTTTTCCTTTTTTGGATTATGGCACTAGTCTTTAGGCTCGCTGTGTTCAGCATCAAAATATGTTTCACTTCTGGAGAAAGCATTCCAACTAAATACAAGATAAATAACCAATATTTGAGTATTCTATGAAAATTTGATACTATTTAAAAAAAAATGTTTGTTACAATATTTTTACTGCAGACAAAATGAAATGTCGCATTCTATCAACAAATATAACACTTCTAAAGTTTTCATATTTATTGAAAGATTCAAAAAAACTTTCTATAGATTCTGTTTCTTTGAAAGATCCAAATTTTTCCAACATTTTTGCTATTACTTCATCTTCAAGAATCTTTTCTAAACCTTTGAATTGTCTTTGATAACTAAATTTCAACTGTTCATAAAATGCTGGCTTATTCAAATCATCAAGGTCTACAACACCAAGTTACTAGATTATGTGGTTTAAATATGGTTATAAGAATTTTGCTTATTATTATTAAATTATTCTATATAGAGTAAATAAATACCTTTCTTCAGACTCCCGATATTTCCTAATCAACTCTTGATACAACTCATCACTCTATAATTTCAGATTGATTAGTTTTTAGTTTAAAAGCTTATTGCACTTATAAAGCTAAATAATAACCTACAATTATACCCCTCCCAAAATTTGGGATGTTTCTGGCAAAGTATTTGATTGCATCATCATCATCATCATATCATCATCATCATCATCATCATCTGATACCTAGTTAAGCAAAAAGGTTATAGAACAGCCATGGTTAAAAGAAAATTATTTTGAGTTACATTCTATACTATTAAAAGTTTTTTGTGTTTTTTAACCTTTGTAAAAAAAAAAAAAAAAAATAATACAATTAGATAAATATAATTGTAATCTTTTCATGATACATATAGACAAATATGCTCATAATAGAAAGAATGTATAATTCTTGACTGATTTTCTGATGATGAGTGTATAATTTACTTACTTGTGGCAAACTCAGCTCACTTTAATGTTTAAACAAGTAACATAAAGGAATCAATTTCCAATTATATAACATTTTAATGGTTTGTAAAAAAACAAATCATAAGCAAAAACAAAACTTATAAATATGATGATTAGAATGACAGACGAATTGCAATCTGATAACAATCCTTTAATAAGAACACTCACTTGGATATGGTCATTTGTGATTAGACCTTAGTTAAATGAATAACTAGAGTGATAGGTGGTGGCAATAACTGCCACCACCATTCTTATGATAAAGAATACTTACTCGTTTTCTCCTCTTCTTTCTTCTTCTTTGTTTCGTCTTTTAGTTATAGATTTCAACATTATTTTTTTTTTTTGAAAGAAATCTTATTTGATCAACAAAACACGCACACTAATTATTTAAGCATAATGGACATTCATTTATCACATAGTGATAAAATTGAATGAAGATCTTTTTTATGCTGTACCACATTGTATTTTCAATAGAAAAAACTAGTTATAACACAAGTGATTAAAAATCACTTGTAGAACAATGATGTTTTGTTCAAATATACTCTTTGTTAGTTAAAAGGCTTGGGCAAAAAGATCAAAGAAGATCATTGATTTTGAAGGATACTGAATTTTTTCAATTTAAGGCTTTTACTGTATATTATAAAACATATTATACAAAAAAAATATTTATTTATTCTTAAAGGTGATAATGTCAAGATTTTTTTTTAATAAAAACAAGAAATAATTATAATAATAATGATTATTATTATACAACAATATAAGAGTAACAATAAATAAATAAAATGCCAGCAACTTGCAAATGTCATATTTCAAAACCATGTCATCAAAGGTCTGTCAGTTTAAACACTTGTGCTTTGTGTCATGGAGTAAACATTTTCTGATATTTATAAATAATTTCAAATTACCAATTTATTATTTGATTGAGAGCATTTTCTAATCCTATTTCACTGGTATCATTTTCATCTTCATTATTATCATCAATTTCCTCATTTAACATTTCATTGTTATTTTCTACTTCTTTTTCTAATCTATTAACATAAGAATTTACATTTGTAGTAATCCCATTTTCATAAAACTCTAGATAATATTTAAATTTCTACCAATTATATTATAACAATTCAAATGATATCCATGTCACATATCAGCACCAAACTAGTAGGATCATAATTACTTGCAAATTTTTGTTTGCAATGATCACAATTATCAATCAATGGTCTAAATGAAGTGTGAAATGCTGTAGGTAAATTTTTTAATTTTACATTTTGATTTAGTGCTGCAAAATAAATCTTATTCTTGTTACTTATTATGGTCTGATTTTGTTTATTATATAATGAATAAAATATTTAATTAAAAATAAGCTAGCTCTATTGATTAGATAATCTAAATTAGATTCTGTACAAGGGTATGTATTTAAAACTTTAAATGTATCAACTAAGATTTGTTCATGACCATCTAATGCCAATGCTTGTTTGTTTTATTATATTTTTAGATGAACTTTGTGAACTGGTATTAACTCTTATATGACTATGCCAATTTTCAACATAATAATCATTAAAATTAACTAAATATTTTCTTATAGCATCATAGAAT